AATATCACACAGATGTCACAGAAGTTTAGAAAACTTATTATCGACAATCAAAACATAATGCTATACAAATTTTTTATAATATCTGAATATACATTATACATGTTATATACTACAAATTAAAAATAATAGTTGGCTACTTGGTTCACACATAAAATGTTAAATTTATAATTTATACATAATATGGTATAATATGCATTCATTATGAAATATGATAGTATTATTAATAATAAATGTAACATGAATTTATGAATGAAAAAATATATATTGTATTTGAATAAATTAGTTATTACGTATTGGGTAGGTGTATCTCTTTTATTTTTATAAAATTATCTTTCCTAATACTGCTAATAACTACTGCTAATATATACTGCTTAATAATATGCTAACAACTATAAATTATAATAATATATTGCACACGGTTTTTTCACGACAGTTGCTGCACGGTGGGTTAAATATCGACTTTCATGTCGTAACAATCTGCTACAATAATAGAGGCACCTATTGATAAAATAATGTTACATGCGCTGAATGAAATTATATTATAATATCTCACAATATTGTCTGTGGTCTATCTATATATACGTATTATGTTATAAATGTATAATAACGTTCTTATTATTTATAAGTTATTACTTATTTTTCAAAATAAAAGCAAAACAAAATTAAGAGTTGTCACTACTCACTTGCCAGTCGTTAGAAAAAAGGGAAAACAGATAATAATAACATAAAATTAATTTATTACGGTTTTATTCTGAGACAAAATATATAATACACACGTCATGACATATTTATACTATAGAATGTATAAATAATATAAATTATTGATGAAAACCATTTTAAAATATGGGTTATTTTTCGTACCACCGGAACGAAAATGTGATTTTTTGTATCATATTATCTTAATATGTGAAAAAAAGGTGGTCAAATAGAACCGCTCTGCAGTAGTTGCAAAAGATATGTTAGATGATAAATCATTGGTTATGAAAAACAATTCCGAGCGGAGATGGTGTGTATTAAACAAGTTAATAAAAATTGTATACATCTCAAATAGCGTTACTTTCCGGTAAACTTTTTTTCGTTGACGATAGAAAAATGTATCCTCTATTAAATGTTCAAATACAAGCAAATATAAGCTATGAAAAGAAAAACTTTTGTACATTTCTAACTGAAAAATTGTTTGAAAAAATGTTCATGATTTTGATGAATTTCGTCAAAATTTGAACTTTAAATGCATATTAAAATAATCGTGATTATGTATCATTAATATTTTTAAACTGTTATCAAAACAAGTTATAAGGAGCCTTAGTTTAGTTGCAATAATTGTCAAGGTTTTTAATTGAAAAACAACTTTAAAAAGAATCGAATATATAATCTCTCCGCTCTGTGCTCAACTCTCAAAATCTAATAAGTAACAAGTTATAACTAAATACTAATAGTCTTTTTAAAAATTACTGTAAATTAGAATACTAAAAAACTTTCCATTGTTTTGTATTCAAAAAATGTCCGCCCGACGCCCATAAAAATATGTCAACCCTTTTGCATCCATAACATTAACTCGTGTATTGAATACTCTATTATACAATTTATACTTCACTAACTTTTGTTAATATCAATTCAATTCAATTAAATTAACTACTCGGTTACCCGAAAATAATATAATAATGAGATGTAATTTCGTGAATCCTGATTTCATATTTCCATTGAATATAATAATTTTCGTGTTACTGCTTATTACGTCGAAATGACAAAATTAAATTCCACAGAATTATGTTATACCCAAATAAATATTATCATCATATTATTATTTGTAGAATAATAAAATATTAGTACAGCCGTACAGAGTATAGGTATTCTACTAATATAATTTATAGTAGGTGTGTCGTCTACAAGTCAGATGAACATTTCAAATAAATTAACTTAAGTTTATTAGTTAAAACAATTTACACTATTATAATGTTATATTCTTCTTTTATAATATTTTTTTTTCGAAGAGTATTACAATTTAAGAGTATTAGTATTTAGTAACATTGGTTTTAAAAGGTAATACCTATATAAAAAAATCAATAGTAGTTTTATTTAAGGCGACTGGAGCAACCTATATTTTTCATAAGTTTAGACCGATAACTAGAAGTAAAATAAAAACTTCTAGTGACTAGATTTTAATTTTGAAAATTACATTTTTTTCAAGGATTGATCGGTAATAGATTTTAATTTTTTTCATTTCATGACTGTAATGTAAAAAAGGAAGACAAGATTAATTAAAGTATAATTATTTAGGGGAAAAAAGTTAACTCACTGGGTACATTCAACATTGTATATTATTGTATTAGGTATACTAAATTAACTAAAATAAACTAAAAATCTATTTACAGATAAATCTAGAATAATAGAAAAGCGAAAAAAATTTCAAATAAAAATTAATATTTATTTTATCGGTCAAAATAAGGTAATTCAGTTTTTCTCTTCTGGTACTAATTATATTAATAATTACTGAGGAGGCCGGAACAAAATATTTTTCAATGCATTGGCTAAAATAGTGTTCTATTAGTATTTTAAATAGATTTTTAAGCACTCCTATTTTTTTAAACTCTAGACATAATAATATTATTTAATTATTGTTCAATAATATTATTTCAATTTCTAAATACGTACTCGCCACTCGGTACGCACTATATCATAATATTTGTTACAACATTATTATCTCTCGGCTTCGGTAGGTTATCCCAGTGGAAATTCAACCGAATCGAATACGACGGCGAGCGGGCAAATAGCATGGTATTATTTTTATTTCAATCGGAATTCGATTGTTTACAAAGCGCACTGCGAATAATATTATTACATTATTATAAATAAAACAATTATAGCGAGTGCCGGATATCCAAGTCCCCTTCCCACCGCCCTCCAGCAACCTTCTTTCGCGATGCACCTATAGGCGATAAGCCGATAACACACACACACACACACCACACACACACCACATACACACCCACACACGCACACACACTCCACACCACCCGCGAAAACCTGATTTGAACAGTCTGTCGACGGCTCCGCGCCGATGGCGGACGGGGAAGCGGGACGAGCGGCGATGGGCAATGTGCACGACGTTGCTTCGTCGCCACCGTCGTCGTCGTCGTTGCCGTCGTTCGTCAATCGTGAGTCCCCGTTCGCGGTCCCCGCAATAATATTTCTCACATGGTCGCCACTCGCCGCTCGCCGCCGCCGGTCATTCATTTCTCCCGCGTCGGCCGTCGTGCTCAGTTCTCCGTTGCGGTGTTTCGCTCCTCTGGTCTGCTTCCTTTGAGTTTCACCATCGATCGTCGCCATTCCAACAGTAATTATTGCTGAATCTGACAACATCATCGTTGCCGTCGTCGACTCCGTTCAGAGGGTATGTATATTGATTTTTTTATTTGTGGGGTAATTTTATTCGCGCCGTACGGCTTCAATAATTGATTACTTTAGGTCGGTCATTTTATTATCCCTCGCTGTTGGGTTAGGTCCGGGCGTCGAAAGATTTACGGTAACTAAAATTATGCATTCGCTTGGTTACACCGCTATCTATTTTTTTATTAACAATTCCTATGGTTTGTATTTTTACGGAGAACACCCGTTGCACTGGTTTTCATTTGCACCAAAGGCGATGTTTTAAAATGTCCGGTCGCGATGTATTGAATTCCACTCAAATCGTGTATATTGTTGAATATATATTATTTTAGTTTGGCCTCCCTCCGTGAATGTTTAATTTGTCTTTAATATTTATATCAAGTACGATGTACCTTTGTGTTATTCCGTGTATTAATGTGCAGCGTCAATAGTTGTTTGTGAGGGCCCACAGGCCAACTGCGTACCGCAATCCGCAAAACGAAAAGGATCGAAAGTCATAATATGCTCTTCACCATTTAATTTAGAATTTAGATGATGTAGGTAACGGATATGTCAGCTGTTAGCGTAGTTATCACACGGTATGTAATGGTAAAATTCGTACAATAGTAGTTAGAATGTTAGATTGATAATAATTCCCTTCGGAATCATTATCACGAAGCCTTAAGTGCATTTTGCATAGGCATTTTCTATTCATTGCTTTATTATCTATAGTAGTTTTTTCCTGGTGTGGTGGTGGGGGTTCGCGCCAGACAACGTTATCAGCTTAGTGTATTGCCGTGACGCCGTGTTGTGTAAATCGTGTAAAGACGAGCTGATGGTAATATTGTTATTTTACGTAGTCTAATGCCGTTTGTTGGATTACATACGACTCTCGTTAACTGTGTAATATTATACTGTTGTAGTAATCAGCTGCCGCCGTAGCATTTCTTTTTTGAAAAACCATTTTTTAGGTTCTGTCTGATCGTTGTGATAAAATACAATTTAATAATTATCATATTATACGTTTAATGTCATGTTTGTATTTTTTTTCACAGTTAATTATATAATCAGTACTAGACGAATGCGTGTATTACAGATAATGGAATTAGACCATTATTTATTTATATTGCATAGTTGAATTGGTTATACATTATAATGTTTGTTTGTATCGGAGCTTTGGAAGCTTTTTTTGAGCTTTGTTCAGAATCGTTTTTCGATTCAATGACAGTAGGGATGTCATTGTATTCAAATGCAACATTAGAATGAAGCAGTTGACTCACCTAATTATTGTAATATCCATTTTGTACTTGAGACACATTATCGCTCCTATCGCCTACTCTTAAATAGGTAGTTATTGTAAACCACCCAACCACCCATTGTTGTTATAATAGCTGCTTTTTATTTTGTGTAGTACTACATACATAATATTATATTGAATCCACTCAGTGAAACTGTAAATTCCATAAAGTTGAGACTATTATATTTATTCAGCAATAAATATTACAAATAAGTACAGTTTACAATGCGCATTGTTGTTTTATATTGATAATGACTGAATGAATGATAGCTTAATAAACTATAAAAAATAGTATTTTCAACGTGTTTTTATGGTTTTATAAAAATATATTAATCCTGAATAATAATTTTTTCTTTGCACTTTACTATAGTAAAGCTTACCAATTTTTATAACTGAGTGCACAGCTTAAGTTAAATAAAACTATAAACATAATATTATAAGGGTAAATAAATTAGTTTCATTTTCAATTACTTCATTCTAAGAATTTTTCTTTATTACCTTTTAAACCAGGGAAAACTAACTATTGTGTTCAAACATTTAGTGATTGGTTTTTGACTGGTTTATTTAAAGCTCTTAAATACTACCGAAGACCATGCCCAAAACTAACAACTAATAAATAGGTGTGTAATTAAATACATTATTTGTTTAGGCAAGGTGCATTATATACAGATAAAAAATGAACTAGGTACCTACCTATTATTTGATGGAGCAAGAATTAAGTTAATCTTTGTATGATATAAAACTTATTTAATCCTAATTTTGAATAATGCAAATATATGATAATTATTCTCATCTGAATCTGATTGAGTTTTTTATGGACAGTCTGCACTACCTGGCATAGTATTTATGACAACAATAATAAGACAATTGGATTTAAAACTGTGTTTATCTATTTATCGTATGCTAAAGGGATGGCTGATTAGTCATTACCAATATGTTAAGTAATACACTGTTTAATAACCACCATAAAAATAACTTCGGTCATATATACCAATGATGCTTCTCTCGGATTAAGTACCTTCATAGTTTTAGAAAAATGATTGTTCACATATATCTATTATGGTATGTCATATTATGTGACTTTATTTAATGGAACATAGTAGTAGGTGTTTCTTATTTGTAGTTTTGTCAACAATTCATATTCACATAGTCAACTGCACTTAACATTTTTTACATTAAAGCCTATTCCATTTCTTATTTTGTTTGAATAGAAAAAATTGGCATATTATGCACTATGCAACTGTAAAATATGAATAGTATTATATTATTCATCTCTATTAAAAACTTAAGTCCTGTTTCATGTCTTGGGGATGAATTAATAGTAAAATATTGAATTTTGTCAATGATATTATTTTAAAAAGTATGAAATTTTTTTTATTTAATGTAATTAATATAATATTTATTTATTTAAAGATTTGGATTATTGAAATGTATTTTTATTACAGATTAATCAAGTGGTACAATGGGTGATTCTGCAGTAAATAACAAATCAAATTCTGCAGATGATGATAAATTGTCATGTTCAACAAGACCATTAACTCAGATTAATAATGTACTGATCAATACATCTAACTTACATGATAAATCTAAACCATTGGATAAAGTTGGGTCTCCTGCACAACAGATAGAACATATGGAAGGTGTTGAACATGAATCTCCTGTTCAACAGAATATAGAAGGCGTGGGGCAAGAATCTCCTGCCCAACAAAATATGGAAGTTGTGGAGCAAGAATCTCCTGAACAACAGAATAAGGAACTCATAGAGCAAAAATCTCCTAAACAGCAGAATAAGGAAGATGCAGAGCAAGAATCTCCAGTACAACAGAGTATGGAAAGTGTGGATCAAAATTCTCCTACTTCTAGTACCGAAAAAAAAAATGATTTTGAAATTGGTGATATTGTTTGGGCTAAAATTGGAAGGTACCCATTTTGGCCTAGCATTGTCTGTATGGATCCGGAAACCAATGTATACATTAAAGGATCACTTCGTAAGTAAATCATGTTGTATTCTGCACATTTTAGTAATTAAAATTTAAACAGTACTTATTTGATTATTCTACAATTTCATATTCTAATTATTCTTAAAAATGGCAACCAATTTTGTTTCACATAATTTATCAGGTATAATACGTTTTGTGTTTATGTTATTAGTATTTTGAAGATATAATAATTGTATCTATAAAGTATTATGTTTTTGATAAATAAGCATATAACTTAGTTTCTGTAAAATCGACATTGATACTCAAAAATAAATATCTAGATTATAATTTGAAAATAACAAAAAAATCTTGAATGTATTTTGAGTTTTGTTTGTGATGTACATATTATTTATAAGTTTACAGTAGGCCTCCTCTGTGTATGATATATATACACAAAACATTATTTTTGATATCTTATGAAGTACTATTTATATCCTGTTTTAATTTTATATTAAATCACTTCGGTATGTTTTTTTTTTTAGAAAATAAAAGACAATTTTCATTACACGTACGTTTTTGTAATGATCATGGTAGAAGAAGTTGGGCCAAAACTGTAGAAATGTATTCTGGAAAAGAAGCATTGCTTTCAAAATATCCCAATGGTTTAGTAAGTTTAGTGTTTAGTGTTAAATTCTGAGACACAATATTTACCTTGGAATTCAAACAAAGTTAAGAGGACTCTACTTATGTGTGTGTTGTCTTCGTCAAGAATTCATATCTTGCTTCAAAATTTAAATATAGGATAAAAGTCGACGTTTACGCACAGATATTGTTGTTACTTAAAAGTTATATTATGGTTCACTTAACTTTTATATCATAAATAACAGCATATGGTTGAAACCAGTAGTCTTAAATTTGCTATATAGTACGTGTGTAAGGCAGGGACAACCAATGCATGGTAGCGTCCTCTTAATAAATTATTTGGCTAATATCTTTATACAATGTAATTTTTTCAACACATGCTATTAGTAATAACTAACAATATTTATTTTTCTTATTGGAAGAACCATAACTACAAAATTTAAGTTATACTAATTAATAGGAAATCATGAATACAATTCCTTACATTAATTTGTTTTTAATAACCACGTTTTTAACGATATGCATGATGTCATAAGATATAAGTACTGTACCAAGTTACAGTTCACTATAAACACTAACGGTTTCTTGGGAAGTAGGAACATAAATGTGTTCTTGGTTGTTTATATAGATTCATAGTACCTAAAAGTTTATCATATTTCTTTAATGATGTTGAATTTATTTTTTCTTAATTTTTATTTATAATACTACTACTTATATTTATACAATTATTTTGATTGGGGACAAAGTGGTCGAGTGGATAACGAGTCGGTTGCAATGCTCACCGTTGCTGCTTCAAACCTCGGTTGAGCGGCACTTCTCTCCGGCCAGTCACAGTGTCTGGAGAAAGTTGCCGCCATCCCCCACCTGGCATGGCAGAAACCTAGGGGTACCCACTAGAAATTCTGCCAAATAAACACACATGTGTTCCATAACCCTACAGTACCATAACCTCTACAACTAATGGCCTCAGTTGCCGAAGTTAAAAAAAAAATTTTTTGATTATGAATAACTTTTAATTCTTCTTTAAAATATCTTGGCCTTTTAGGAAGTCAATTTTTCAATTTTATTAAAGGACCTTAAAATAAAGGTTTTTTTTCCAAAATCCTTCAAAATAATTGCATTTGTATTTATTTTTGGACACAAGATTTTTTAAATCAAAAACATAATTCCTTTAGAGCGTTGCGTAGAACCTTATAAATTCAATTGTTTTTTCAAAATTACAATCAAATTTCAGGAAGTATGTCTAATATACTACCGCTTTTAGTAATTTTTGTAGTTCTGCAATCAAGAATATATTTTATTTTTTGCGATGTATTGGCCTGTCGCGACGCGTGACAGTTGCATCAGGCAGCGGTTTCCCGTCATGGCATGACAGTGATTCTCGGAAATACACAATGTTCATTTACCACTCACGCATAGATAATGCTCTAATGTACATGTCATAGAAATTTCCTAAATACTACTTCTTAAAACATAATATGCGCTCTTAATAATGTAGTATTTGTTGGATTCTGTGGGAAATAGATTTTTGATTTCTTTTTTTTACTGATACAACATCCTCAACGACATGAGTCATTGGGCTTACAAATAATTTAAATTCATAACATATTATGTGTACATATTCTAAATATAAATTTTAAATTTTGGTTTGAAGATTGGTGGCTAATAAATTGAATGATATTGGCTATGGTTTAAGGGTTATTAATTCCCCCCCCCTAAAAAACTACAAAAATTATTACTCATCACAATTCATCAAAATTCAATACAATAAATACACATACTACAATTTTTATTTATTTATAAAAATAAAAGCATTGTCATATTCAGGGATTGTAAGTTTGTTCACTAAAAAATGCATAAATTAGCATTCATTCATGCACTAAACATTGGCAATATATGTATAAAAATATTGTAGACAAATTTTGAATTAATAAAACATCCATTGTTTATCCGATTTTAATTTTTTACATTTTATTACACTCAAAAACCTAACTTTACAGATTAACACTTTGTTGCTATTATTATGTTATTATATCTGTGATATTTTATATAACTTGTGGTCGTACAAGAATAAAACAATTGAAACAAATACTACAATTTTGTAAGTTGGAAAGTAAATAAGAAATAAGAAAAGTTTTTTTATGAAAAAACATGCTCTGATAACTCTAAAAAAATCTAATTTATGCCAAATATGCCTTTATACCCAATACATGCACTGTTAAACTTTATATATTTATTGCTTTGGTTAGGAAACAAATTTGTATCTCAATTAACATGTTTTCCTGTGTTGCAAGAAAAACGTACAAATGCGTGAACTTACGAGTCCTGGTCATAGTTATATTTTCCACTAAATAAAATATTGATGAACATTGAATTGATATAAATACAATTATTTTAGCTGATAAAATAATAATAATGACATATGTTTAAAATATAATTGATTGTGTCAATATTTGGCCACAGCATAAATGGTTACTGCATAGTAGAATCTTATGACATCACTTGATGTATGAAAACGCTTTTATAAAGAAACTGTTATGAGCAGACAATTTTTTTTTATTTTAAATACTTTTATGGTGATTTATTGAAAAAAGTCCTTTGTGTTGACATGAAACATTTTTTAAAGAGATAATATATTTTAAAAATGTACATAAGGCGCGGATCCAAGAGATCACTTTAGGTCTTAGTTTATATGAATTCATATAATTAAAATTATGTATACCTATTATTATCATGAAGTCTATAATCTATTATGTACTAAAATTATAATTGTATTTTTATAGTAAGCTTTTAAAAAAATGTAATCCCCCCCCCCCTTTTTTTCATTTCAGATTTTTAGATTTGTGCCTGTGTACAATCAAATATATTTAATTCAAATTTGTAACAGCGTTGTTTAAAATATAATAAATAATAAGCAGACAAAACTTAGGTATACTATATTTAAAAGTAAAATCTCATAGATCACTGTACTATCTACAATTATATTTTTAACACAAATATTTATTTTTTCTAACATAATTGATATTTATATTAATTTAAAGTAGTGAGAAATACATATTATTACAATGCAGCATAATTACTTTGATATTTCAATAATTTATATTTTTACTTAATTAATAATTAGTCTCATGAATTAATTATAATTTAAGATGTTATGTAATTAATTATATTATATCATATTAATTTTAAGTATTTTAAATTGCCTGTTACCAAATCACTTGGTACTAACATTATGACTCTTTTAACAGTTGTTATATTTATCATATCATATTTCAGGGTAGTACTGTCCCCGAAAATCACAACTATTACAAAATGATTACTTGCACATAGTAGTTTAGATAAAAGACAGTATCAAATTATCTATTGTATTTATTTTGTAATAATTCTTAATGTTTAAAGGCGTTAATAAAAAATAGTAAGAAGCAAATGTCTGTGTGGGATGTGGCAGTGAAAGAAGCTGATAATTGGTTGAAAGTAAATAGGTAATACTACATTTAAGATTAGATTATTATATTTAAAAATTACATTTTCACCTTTTCTGGTGCCAGTGGGATATACACAATGTCACCAAAAAAATTAACCACTCATAAAATATTTTTTTTCTAACTTTTTCTTTGTCGTCTGTTGTTTCACATTTTAGGAAATTTATTTATTTCCCATTATCTGTAGATAATGTATATTACACAATCCTGGAATTCTATTATTATAAAATATCACTTAATTCATATTTTATAACTAAAATGTCTTATTTTCCCTTATTGATATTTTTCAATTTGATTTTATTTAGTTATTCTAAGTGGCCTAATATTTATGTTCAACTTAACGTCTATTTTATGTCCTACTGAGCAATAACGTCAAATTTTTTAAATATCTTAATCAAAATATAAATGGGGGAAAAAATATGTAAATAGGTCACAAAAGTAAAAAATTGTGAAATTATAAAATAAATGATTTATTTGCATGATTAAATGGAGTAGTTACTGTAGCTAAAAATATGTGACCCGTTTACTGCAGCTTAGGCTTAAAGTTTGTCCCACCCATAGTAATTCCTTCTTTTATTTTGCTTTTTCTAAAACTTATGTTTGAATACATTTTTAAATATAAAACAGTAACAAAACAACAAAAAAAATTTAATGTTTGTGCAACGAAGGGTGTAGAATATTCTTAAAACCTTGTGATTGAGAGTTGATCATCTCACTAATTTGAAATAAAAATTAAACATTCTAGAGATGACAGAATGACTAGATTTGCAAGATCAAATGGTTTGAGTCGTTCCAAAATAAGTGGTCTGGGTCCCAAACCTCCAAGTGCTCCCACTCCATCTACATCTACTGCCGTTACACCTGTGAGTTTTTAATAACTTATTTGTTATTGTTGATTATTGATTTGTTTTTGCATTAATAAGGTATTATTTTTTTAGCAACAATATTTAGCAATGCAAAAAGAAAAAGCTCTTAAAGCAGCATCATGTGCACCAAGTACTAGTGGTTCTCAAGGGATAAATTGTGAAGCTAGTACTAGTGGCACTAACATGCGTCAATGTTATGTTCAGTTGAAAGATATAAAAAAAAAACCTTCGCGGAAAGAACCTTCAGTAGAAAGAGCTGTGCCCCTACCAAAAGTTGAACTACCAATACCTGCACTGGCAAAACCAAAACCTGCAAAAAAGAAATATGTTGATGAGCAAAAGAAACAGTTAAGAGAAACTTTAAAGAAAAAAAAGGCTAAGAGAGCATTACAAGTTAAAAAATATGGTTTCTCTTATTCATCATCTGAATATGAAAGTACTGATGAAGAAGCTGAACCATTAGTACCTTTTAATCCAAATCGGAAAGTGTTGGAATCAATTAAATATGCAGTAGCGTAAGTTAAATCATTTTTTTTATTTAGACTACAATAATTAAATCAATATATTTATTTTATTTGTTTTTTTTTTTTTGTTTACATAAAATGCTTAAAGCTTTACTAGTGTATGGTATAAATAGGTTAAGAGGTCTTCCATCATATCAATACTCACTTAAATATTAAAGTATTGTATTTTACCAATGAGGGAACACATAATATTTTTATATTTAAGTTTGATAATAGATCAATTTGCTCTATTATTTAAGCCAACAATACAACAATTATTAAAGCATAACTTAAAATGTATGTTTTACTTCTCCGCGGTTAATGTTTTTGAATTACAACAAAATAACTGATATCTGTTATTTATTCTTTATCTTAATATGTAATTTTTAATATCCATAAAAAAGTGGATGTTTCTTTTTTAGACATTTTAGTTTCAGTATGACTCACGTTTAAGGTAGTATAGTTGCTCAACGAGCTATGATAAGACACTAAGACAGCATACAATTTAAATCTTGATCCCAGTGCTTTTGTTACCACTATATAATATTTATATAACATACTTTTAAGTAATATTATTATCAATTATCATTATAATTTATAAATTATAATATAACTAATTAATAATAATAAATATTATTTATTATTCAATAGACAAACATAATTGTCATTATCAAATTCTACAATGTATTTAAAATGTTATAACTAAGGTTAGGATTTATATGCATTTGCATGTTTTTTTCCTTAAGTCCAAATTGATTGTTTGTCAAATTTGTACACAATTTGGCTTATTCTCATTTAAATAGAACCAATTTTTTTTGAATATTTATAGATTTTTGAGTTTTTTATTTTTTATTTTTTAAATTTTTATAAATTATTGTTAATTTTAAATGGCTTTTATTTCATAATACCGATAGTTTTTGGTTTATCCGTCGAATTGTAAATATATAGTATAAATATCTTATCTTGGTCGGACGACCGATAGGATTATCTAGTAGGTAAGACCTACACATTGTTTAACGACATGTGTTGCGTGAATGTGCGGACACTTATACTTAAAAATTTGAGTGGTTTTAATAACAGTATTCTAAATGGAGAAGATATTAATATTAATCTAACTCCTGGGAAAATCCCATCATTAAAATATGCACCAATAACCTCGTGTGATGTGGAAAGGAGTTTTAGTCAGTATAAATCTATTCTACGTTCAAATCGTCGGTCGTTCGTATTTGAAAATTTAAAACATATCATAGTAGCGTGTAATAAAATAAACTTATATTTAATGTAATTATATAAACTTATATTTAATGTAATAATAATATTATTAAGATACAAATTTATATCTAGAAATAATTAAAATTTGTTTTTGCATACTTTTGTACATAAAATGCATATTTTACAATTTGTTATTGCATATAAATCCTAGCCCTAGTTATAACTAAAAACAAAAAAATTGTAGCAATGTACTAATGTAGTTAGTGATTACTATTTTTATTTTTTTTATTTTGTTACTGCTTACTAAAATTAACGAGTCACGATTTTACTTTAATATGATTATTACATATTTATATATAACATAGCAATTGCCTTAGTTTTCATTTTAACCAATTTGAGCTCTATATACGAAAACAGTCATAGATCACTTGACATTGATTCAACATGTGTGCTGTGTTATTACATTTTTCAAATGGGTCGTTAGGCAACCAAATTGTAGTATGACTATATGTATGACTATGATTAACCCTTGTATTAAATTTTGAATTTTTTGACTCTGTAAAATTTTTTAAAAAAAATTAAAGTATTTCACATTTATAGACAATGCTAATATAAACATTTGATAAATTAAATTTAAAGTATCTATGGTTATTCCTTTTTGAGTTCACACTAATGAAGAAAATTGATTCATGATTTTTGTTAAAAATAATTTATTTTACCCAATTATTTTTTAAAAATTCGGGGCATTTTCATTTTTGGCACCTCTAAAGAAGTACTTCTTTAGAGGTTAGGTACCAATTGGATAAAACTTATTATCAGACAACACTTCAATGAAATCATTTTTCCACACAAATAAAGACACATCATTGTATAATATAATATTACATTTGTTGCTTGCTCAGAATCTTAAACAAACAATTAACTTAATGTTTTTTTGTAATGCATTCCAACTGACAAAAAGTTTATCTATCTTTTGATAAGAAAAAAATTTTTTAAATTTTATCGTAGAAACAAAATTTAAAATTACCCAGGCATTGTCACTTGTCATTACTTCTGAGGTTTAAACATTAAGTAGAGTTAGTCCGATAGGTGATAACTCTCTCCTTTTAAGTTTTTTGGAACAATTCACCAGACAATAAATAAAAATAAAATAAATAATAGTGTTATTTTCTTCTAAATCTAAATTAACTCTCTGTGTGTTGGTGTTAGGCTCGTAATTCATTATAACTAATATTCACACTTCCATTACCATTGATAATATTATAATAGTTAATAATGCACTATATGCTTGCAATATTAATACAATTATTTCTATAATATATCCAAAAATAGCATTTTTTTATAGCTGCCATCATGACATACAAATTGTTATGCAAATTGCACTGTTGATAGTACTGAAAAAAAACCTTGACTTGAAAGTACCAAATTGGTGTCTGCCTATCACTAATATTTGATAATTCCAATGATAGCAGCATTTGTTTGGCTAATTTGAAAACTTTAAATGAGAATTAATAGTGTGGATAGGAAAGAGTTTTATAACAATAGAATGTACTGTATAAAGTATTAGTATAATATATAAATCTTAAAATCAAATTTTATTTAACGTATTTATGTTTTCTATTTTAGGAATTTAGAATCTGAAGGAATGCAAAGGCAGAGAGAGAAAAGAATTTTGATTAAAGCTATAAGACTTGCTGAAAGAAGAACTTCTAAGAAAAATAAAGAAGAAGAGGAACAACAGGAACAAGAGCAATAGCAATATTTTATTTATTTGTGAAGAACTATTGTATTAGGTAATTTAAATACATTAATATAATAAAACTGTACATAAAAAGCAAAGAAAGAATTAAAGGGAAACATTTTTATTTTTAGTACTTTAAGTAATGACTGTTCTACCTTTTAAAAAGTATAAGAGGAATAAAATACTATTAAGTTATACCGACAGTCAATATGTAGCTATTTATTAAGTATAATCAAAGGTGCTAACAAGTAACAAAAAAAAACCTATAGCCTATAATCAGGCTTAAACTTAACTATGTTTATTTAAAATTGAAACAAATAGTAATAGTTTGAAATATATAAGAAAGTTAATTATACATACTGTCATTTTTTTACACATTTAAAAAATACATTTTTTTATAGTAAGATTTAATATAAGTACTCATTCATGTACAATTTTGTAAATAAGTTTAAAGATTATAATAAAGGAATAATGTCAAATCTAGTATTATGTAGTTTTTTTTCATTCTTAGTATATTGTATTCTTCTTGCTTTTGGAAATGTATGTAGTCAAATTTTGATTAATTACTTAAAACTTTGTCTCAATATTATTTTTTTAACTTCTAAGTAACTTATTGTCATTTTACAAGCAATCTAACTAGAAATATTACTAAATAAAATGTCCAACACTAATACAGGTATATCAGGCATACAGCTGTATAAGGACCTACACCAAATACGAAACAACAATAAACAGTTCTTAATTGTGTAATTAAATATTATTTAAAAATAATAATTGTTAATAAACAAAAACTTATACAAATAACCTTGTTTTTTTAAAAACAAGAAAGTGGCAAATAATTTTTAATGCTTCAATGTATATATTTTGATTTATCATTTATCAGTACATAATATACAAAGTATCCTGTGAGGATATATCTATTAGCTATAAAGGGGGACTTAAAGGCCTGGACATAAACTGTTTTTTTACCATTTTACCTATAAACTAAAAAAAAATGATAAAAAATGTTGAAAGATAAAAATTTTCAGAAAAATAACCTACTAAATTGATATCTTCAGTTATACATTTTTTAACTTTTTTACCAAAAAATTTAATTTAATTAAAGAATGAAGTCCTGTGTCGGTGAGTCTAATAAAAAAAGAAACAGTTTTTTTTTATTTAACTTAAGCCCTGCGACTAAGGCCATTAGCTGTTGTAGGTTGTTTTTACGATTTTCACAGTAGGTACCAAACACGTGTATGTGTGGCAAGGTTTTTTAACTGCTATTAACCTGGGTGGTCACCCATCCGGGAGCTAGTAGCTGTAAAACTTCCAGTCGTATTTCGCGACTGGTAGCAGCCAACGCGCCACAGGATAAATCCTATAGGTATACCTATCAAGAGAATAATATCATTTTCTAATGTTAATCGTTTTTATTATTTTAATAAGTATAATAAAATTGAATAGCTTTTGTACAGCTCTGATTCTTAAGAGCATTAAAAATAAATTGTATGTACTGCATTTAAATGATTATTAGCTAAGTGTTAACAGTGTTAACATAATATAGTTTATAGAAACTATTAGTTAATAGGAAGTATGAAATATATACTTCATAAAAACAGTCTACGCCTCATATTCATAAGAAACGTTCTGTGTACCTATCGTTATATTTAGAGAAAATTGAATTAACTTGACTTGTAATTTACGGTGCAACTAGACATTTCAAAATCATTAAAAATCGATTTATGGCGAGTTAAAATGAAATACATATATATTGGATCCTCAATACTACCCTCATTAAGATATTTGTTGTACTATTTTTAATTTTCAATTCTCAATAGGTACTAAGCACGTCAAAACTGTTACTCGTTATACTATAGAACAGGGGTGGCGAACCTATGGCACGTGTGCCAGAAGTGGTACGTAGACCAAATTTCAGTGGCACGCATCACATTAATATATGAAATAAAAGTTTACAAATAAATGTGTACTTAATAAAATATGTGTAATTATTGCATGCTTTTTATTTTCATCTTACCTAGTAAAATTCATTTTTTTTTTGGCACAAGAGCATATTTCAAAATACTGGATTTTAAATTTTAGCACTTGACTCCAAAAAGGTTTGCCACCTCTTCTATAGAAATTACTTATCATTACATTACATTTTCATTACTTGGAAATAATTCTCCTGTAATTATGTAATGCCTTGTACCTTACTTTTGGTACAATATTACCCAACACTGGATGTAATATTTTTATAAGTAGTATTAAGTTTTTGATATAATCATTGGTTTCTAATAATTTTTTTTTTTGCAAAATGATCATCTTGAACAGTTGTGGGTGTCAAATTCGACATCTCTGCCCTATACACATATGTTAAATTTAGTTATAATTGATAACAAAAATTTGTGTAAGAAGTATAAGTATATTTGGAGCACTAAATTCTTGTGTGAAATTTGTGAGTGAATCATATCCAAACGATGGCCGAGTGAAATAGGATGGAATGAGGTAGTATAGATATCCTAACAATTTTTAGTAGATAAACTTTTATTGGAAATTAAATCAAAAATAGGATAGAAATGATAGGTAGTATTAATTCTAAGAAAAATCAAGAGTTATGAAATGTTTTGTTGTCTATTGAAAAGTTATTATGATTATAAACCATAGTCAAATAGGTTATGTGACCTAATCTATCACTGGTACGGTGTATTTTCATTGACCTCCAAATAGGTGTAAATAGTGGGGAGTATATAAAATGATTTGGATGTTAGACAAAAAACTTAGTTTTACAAAGTATAATTTTTAAAATTAGACATTAATTTTAGTGTTAAAATCTAAATGTTAAAATTTATCATGCAATGGTTTACAATATTTTGTTTGTACTTTTAACATGATTATACTTGTTACTTTATTACTTATTGTATATTACCTATATAATTTTAGAAAAATTAAAGATTTTTGATACATGCATAATATTATTCAGTGTTGAAGTTGTTTTTAAGTGTCATAAATTATCATTCTTACATATCATACATTTTACACATTTCTATATTTTTATATTATTTGAATAACGCCTTACATTGATAATTTAAACTTAAATTATACATTTAAATACATCTAGTATTATTAGTAATATGAGTAATGTTATTAATGCTTACGCTATTGAGTATTATGAAACAACTAAGAGGAACCTTGCTAATTAGCCATGGTTATTTTAAAATCTTATTTTATCACTTATCTATGTCCCAGATCATCCTCTTTGTATTTATTTTAAATTGATTATTGAGTAGTATAAATATTGATTTATATTTTATAGTATATTTATATTGCATATATACTACTTCTGTTTTGTCTTGGGTTAGACATATTAATAGTTTATTTTCCTATGAAGTTTTCCTTAATTATTTGTTTTATTAACTTATCAGTGTTATAAAATATGCCGTTGTGGCACCTGCAGTGTATATAATATACTTGTTATTTTATATTTCGTTAATCAGATGAGTTTGATATTTAATTTTATATTTTTGTAATTATTTTATCTACTTGCTTTAGACTATTATCTAATTGGTTTAGAATTATACCTCTAAGTTTCCAATTCAGGCAATATAAAATTATACTTAGATATTTTAGACAAATTTTATATTATTGAATGTATATTGTATATTGTTTGTCGTCATATTGGTAAATGATTTTTTTTTACATTGTTGGTTTGTGTTTTTATTAATTGTTTTCTATTTTTAGTAAGATGATCGTTATTATTTGAGTAATATACATTAAGGGGGTCGGAGCGTATCATGTTTTAAGGAGTGATATGTAGGCAATTCATATGGCATGTATATTAGAGCTATGTGTGAGTGGTAAATGAACATTGGTGTGCCAGGTGCCTCAATTATTTTATGGGATTTAAAAAAAAACCTTCTTAATTTTAGGGTCCTTTAAAATTTTAAATTCTACTTCCTAAAAAGCCTGGATACTTTGTTAATTAATTCATATAAGTATTAAACATTTTAATCGGACATTTCGAAGTAGGTATGTGTCATTTACCACCGCTTATTGGTCTTTCACTGAATATCATTATCTGCAATTTTTAAAATATTTTGTCTTTTGTTAAACTATTTATAGGCTTATGAAATAGTTGATTATTGTCAGTTTTTTTTTAAACTATAATTGATGAAAATTTGTGTCAAAAAACTTGAAAATTTAATACAAGGTTCCTACTTCCTTGTAAGTTGTTGTTTAATTGGCAAAGGAGGGTAAAATACTGGGTCTTGCGACATTGGCATTACGCACTTCGTTTAAAAGGCTTTACGATGTGTTATTTTACATTCATAATCGATTAATTTATTTCGTAGTTTTTGGATGTTTTATTAAGTGAGATTTTATACTGCTTGTATCGTATTGAAGTTGCGTACGATCAATCTAGATTTCAAAGTGAACCCAATAGATATTTATTCAAAATTGTTGAACGCTAAATGTACCTGTAATTATAATTGAATTGTTCTTAAATCAGCTTCAGAATCAGCCAGTTTTCGTAACTTGTAGGATATTGGGTGTAACTTATTTATGCAATGAATCCTTTTGGAGTGATGTACCCGCTACTCCGATTTTTTAAACATCTATCCCACTGTCCTGAATATTATTTATTAATACATTAAAGTTTGTATTTATAAATAGGGTAGTGGTAGATATCCAACTTGTTACGATGGACAAAAGTCTATCGAAACTTCTGACGCGGAGGTAGCAATCATTACGTAGATCAGCATTAAAGAAATTCTAGACTTTCCGTGTTTAAAGAGTTCAGCGAATGTGCACATGTGTTTATGTCCCATTGAGGCAGGTTATAGATGAGTACTATAGGTATCATACATTGTTGCGCCAACGGGCCTTACCTAGGGCGTACGCTGGACGCTGAGTTCTCAGGACTTATGGGAGGGGGCACAATACTATGACAATGTTGAGCAATAAAAAACATACATATATTATTACTAACAATAGCAACATACATATATTTGATTTCATACAATATGGGGTGGTAAGGGGCGGGGATCACCGCTCCGGTGAGCTACCGAAATCTTGAACGGAGCTGCTGACCGCGACGACGTTGACGTTGACGACGGTAGACTTCTACTCTGCGGGCTGTACAGTCGATGATGCAAATCTCAATTCACAACCAAAATCACCTTTGTTCCAAAATGTGTTTAAGAACACGTGTGTGTGAGGTGGCGGAGCTGCAGTGCGGAGCTGCGGTGTGGAGCAACGATAAAATCGACACGGAACAGAACGGTCATAAATAACTGCGTGTTAAGCAAATTTACGCTCAGCAGTTCACGTTTAGCTTCGTAAGTTAAAAAATTTGAGGGAACCGAATATTATGAA